AACATATTTAGAAGTTCTTCTGACCACAACCTTCTCCTCCTATGCAGCTCAGCTGAAAATCATTCCAGGAAAAAAAGATTTCATTTTGACTCAAGATGGGTTGAGAAGCATGGGATTCAAGATCAAATCACCAGGGCCTGGTTTAAACCTCAAGAAGGCACTCCTATGTTTTCTCTTCAATCAAAAATTAGAGAAACTAGAGTCCAACTGTTGAAGTGGAGCAGCACTTTTAAACCAGAGAATGCTCAGAAAATTGCAACACTCAGTAAGGCATTGGCAGACATGAATGAAGAAGGAGGGCAGAGAGACTGGGCAAAATGGGATAAGATGAAGAAGGAGCTCAATGATGCCTACAGTTGGGAGGAAAAATATTGGCTTCAGAAGTCTAGAATTAATTGGCTTAAGCATGGGGATAAAAACTCTAAATTTTTTCATGCGCACACAGCCAGTAGAAAAAAGCAGAATCACATCTATAGACTTATTAAAGAAGATTGCACATTCTGGGAAAGCCAAGAAGATATAGCAAACTGCATAGAGGAATACTATCATAAACTCTTCTCATCAGAAGGCACAATCACTGGGGATGGCCTAATCAATGGAATCAGAGAAGTCATATCAGAAGAGTTGAACTCAGATTTAGTGGCACCTGTTACATCTGAAGAAATCAGAGAAGCTATATTTAGCATTAACCCCCATAAAGCTCCATGACCAGATGGTATGAATTCCTTAGTTTTTTCAATCTTTCTGGTCCATAGTTCAAGATGATGTTTGTGAAGCTGTGAATAGTTTTTTTTGCTCCTGTTTCAGTCTCTCAATTCAGGCCCATTAGCCTCTGCAATGTTATTTATAAAGTTATATCCAAAATTCTTGTCCTGAGACTAAAGCCTTGCTTGCCTGTTTGTATTAGTGAATGCCAATCAGCTTTTGTGCCAAAAAGACAGATCATGGACAATGTGATTATAGTTCATGAAGTGTTCCATTTCCTTAAGTCTCATAGATCTGGTAAAAAATGCTATATGGCTATTAAACAGGACATGATTAAAGCATTTGATAGAGTTGAATGGGACTCCATAAGACTTATAATGCTGAAAATGGGATTTAACAATACTTTTGTTATGTGGGTTTTGCAGTGTGTCTCCTCAGCCTCATTTTTTTTTAACATTAATGGGGAAGTCTGTGGTTTTGTTAACCCCTCTAGAGGGATTAGACAGGGGGACCCACTGTCCCCCTACATTTTTATTCTAATTTCTGAGATTTTTTCTTATTTGATCAACTGTGAGATTTCAAAAGGGAATTTGGAAGGGATAAAAATTTGTAGAGGAAGCCCCACCCTATCTCACCTATTTGTTGCAGATGATACACTGGTGTTTGCTAAAGCAGAAGTGAATCAAGCTTCAGTTCTGATCAGAATTCTCCAAAGTTACAACTCCATTACAGGTCAGCAGGTCAACTTGGAAAAATCATCAATATACTTTAGCAAGAATACACCACTGTCAGTTCAAGAGGATATCTGCAACACTCTGTTGGGCATAAAGATCCAGAGCTCAACATCTTATCTTGGCCTTCCCCTGGGAATTGGGAAATCAAAGATTGCAACTTTTGCTTACATTGAAGAAGCTGTGAGATCCAGAGTTTCCACTTGGCAAAACAGATTCCTATCAACTGCAGGTAAGGAAGTGCTAATTAAAGCTGTGTTGGGAGCCATGCCTACTTACACCATGTCATGTTTTCTGTTGCCTACTGGAGTTCTAAAAAGTCTGGCTGCTACTTTTGCAAAATTTTGGTGGAAGACCAGTAACAGCAGAAACAATAGCATCCACTGGAAGGCCTGGGATAAGGTAGCTCTTCCTAAAAAGCTTGGAGGATTAGGTTTCCATGACTTACTCACCTTCAACAAGGCCCTCATATCCAAACAGTTGTGGAGGCTGCTAACCCAACCCAATCTCCTGGTTAGCAAAACTCTCAAAGCCAAGTACTTCCCTAAGGAAGACTTCTTTACAGCAAAGCAGAAAAATAGCAGCTCCTAGCTATGGTCTAGTTGGTTGAAGCAAAGGGACTCTTTTAAAAGTGGGCTGATATTCAATGTCAAGGATGGGAAGAGTGTGAAAATTTGGGATCATCCCTGGATACCAAATATTCCTAACCTTAAACCTCAAGCTGGAAATATTGCAACCACAAGACTAACATGGGTCAAAGAGCTCTTGGATGAATCAAGAAGAAGGTGGAACAAGAGGTTAGTGGAGGAATGTTTCCCAACTCATGAAGCCTCTGCAATTCTGAGCATTAGGGGTCTGGATCCACATCAGAAAGACAGAATTTCTTGGCAATGGACAGCAAAAGGAATCTTCTCAGTTGCTTCAGCTTACTCTAAACTAATATATGATAAATACATGAGCATGGACTGCCCTGAAACAAGCAGTGATCAGAAAGCTGCTAGAAAAGCAAGAACAAGAAGCTGGAACCTGAAAATCAAGCCTAAGATTAAGCATTTTTTGTGGAGAAGCCAGAACAATATCTTACCTGTCAACTGCAATTTAAGCAAGAAAGGACTGGAGATTGAACAAATCTGCAAGATGTGTGGAGAAGAGCTGGAAACTCAAGATCATCTATTTTTCAGTGCAGAAGAGCTAAGGTTATATGGAAACTCCTTCCAGTATCCTGGGATGGAATTCAGCAAAATACAATCAGCTTTAAGCAATGGTGGCCTCAGGTCTGTCTGCTCAGCAACTCACCTACTTCTGAAGCTAGGCTGCAGCTATCTTCCTATATCCTTTGGTGGATGTGGAAGACGAGGAACCTGTGGGTTTTTTCGAAGATCTGGAGATCATAACAGAACACAATATCTCTAGCCATGCAAGACTGGGGTAGTTATCTGGCGGTGAATTCTTAGTTTTTTGGTTTTTGTTGGGCTTTGGTTTGGTTTTTGCTGTAGATTTTTGAAGTCTAGCTAGGTCAGTGGTTGACAGTGGTTAGTCTTTTTTGCTATGGTCATGTGTGGTTAGGAGTAAGTGCCAGCACCCAGGATTGGAGTCTTTTCATCTGAGGTGGTTGTTCTTACTCTTGGGGGGTTTTCCTTACCTTAGTGGGTTTGTTGTCAGGCTAGTTAGCCTATTGTATGGGAATATGTACATTTTGTTTGAGCAATATAAATCTTGTCGTTTCGGAAAAAAAAAAATATATTTAAAATGAAGTCTTTTTTTTTTCTATGGTCACGTACCACCTACTTTCTTCTTCAATTCGATTACGAATAATTATAAGAAATCAGTGAATCATACATCATCGTATTCGCCTAATCATAGAATTCAAAAGCCTTAAATCAATTTTGAAGTCCGATTCAAAAATTTCATGGTTAATTGAATTAGAAATCCCTTGAGTCATGTTAGGACTTTTTGTATAAAGACAAATTATTAACGTCATGTGTACATTAAGACTTTACATGATAATAAACTTTAAAAAGACATACTTTTGGTTTTTTTTTTTTTAAGGTTTTCCAATATTTTGGTTCACAAAAACATAATATGTATTGTAAACAAGTGGAATTTACCACTATCTTATCATTTCATTATTATATTAATATGTATATAGGTATGTGTGCCAATTAGC